TATACACCGAGCTCGTGGAGCGGCCACCCAAGTCAGTTCGGGAGATGTTGGATCGAGCTCATGAGAAGGCCAATGCTGAGGAGGCTAATCGCCTGAAGGGCGCCCAGGAGAGGCAGAGGGATGACAAGCGAAGAAGGACAACCGACCAGGGGGACGTGCGACGTGACCAAGGGCGGAAAAATACCTATGACCACCCGTCTAGGAGCCGACCCTTAGGGGCAGACAAGCCTTGGACTTCCCTCACTGCCCCCCGAGCTCGGGTCCTCACGGTGATGGAGCAGGAAGGGCTATCCCGACCTCCCCGGCCCTTGGCCGGGGATAGAAGCAGGAGAGATCAGGACCTGTACTGTGCGTACCACAGGGATGTGGGCCACGACACTGAAGACTGTCGCCACCTTAAGAAGGAAATTGAAAAGCTGATCCGGAGGGGTCATCTTGGCCAGTTCGTCCGCGAAGGGCGAACTGATCAGAAGCAAGGAGGATTCAAGCGAGATCGGGCGCCCAGCTCGCACGACCGACCTCGGGGTCCTCGGGAGCGGACTCCGGTACGCGGGGAGCAGGCTCTGGCGGGAGTGATCAACACTATTGCAGGGGGACCTGCTGGAGGGGATAGCCATTCGGCTCGGCGAAATAACAGGCCTCCCCCCAGTGGGGAGAGCTCAAACAAGCGTTTAAAGATGTACGAGGAGATCATCTACGGGCCGGAGGATGCGGTACCTCTAGCTTCCAATAACCACGAGGCAATTGTGATAGAGGTCGTCACATGTAACTATAAGGTCAAAAAGGTATACATTGACAATGGGAGCGCCATCGATGTGTTGTTCTACAAGGCCTTCAGAGAACTACAACTAGAAGATAAACAGCTCATTCCAGTTCGTACCCCCTTGATAGGGTTTGCAGGTCCGCCGGTAAGGCCTGAGGGAATGATAACCCTCCAGGTCACCATAGGGGAGTCACCAAGGTGCCGAACTGTTCAGGTAAATTTCGCGGTGGTAAAGGAGCCGTCCTCCTACAACATGATATTGGGACGTCCAACCCTAAACGCACTCCGAGCTGTCTGTTCGACCTTACACCTCAGCATGAAATTTCCCACACACGAGGGAGTGGCCGAGGTGCAGGGGGACCCGGAGGTAGCTCGAGCCTGCTATATTGCAACCCTCAAGGGTAAGGAGAAGCTGGTGGCGCAGACAGCCCTTCTGGAGCCCTGGGAGCCTACTGAGAAGGAGGAGAGGTTGGAGACGGACGAAAATCTGCTTGAATTGCTTGTCAACCCCGAGCGACCTGATCGGGTGGTTAAGGCGGGATCTGGACTAAACGAGCAGGTAAGGAGGGCCCTGGAGTCCCTCCTGGAGGAGTACGCCGAGATCTTTGCTTGGAGTGCCGATGACATGCCAGGAGTTCCTCCCGAACTGGCAGTCCACAAGCTGCATGTGGATCCGAGCATCCGGCCAGTGAAGCAGAAGAAGAGAAACTTTGCACCTGAACGCAACAAGGTCGTTAAAGAAGAGGTGGGCAAGCTGTTGGAGGCTAGAATTGTGAAGGAGATCCACTATCCGACCTGGCTGGCCAACCCGGTGCTGGTCAAAAAGGAGGACAAGGCTTGGCGGATGTGCGTGGATTTCACCGACCTGAATAAGGCTTGCCCAAAGGATTGCTACCCTCTCCCTCGCATCGACCTGCTGGTCGACTCAACAACTGGGTACGAGATCTTCTGCTTCCTGGATGCTTTCAAAGGGTATCACCAGATAGCTCTGGATGAGGAGGATCAAGAGAAGACTGCCTTCATCACCGAATACGGTACGTATTGTTATACCACCATGCCGTTTGGCTTGAAAAATGCAGGCGCGACCTATCAGCGGCTGGTCAACAAGCTGTTCAAGAACCAGATCGGCCGAAACATGGAGGTATACGTGGATGACATGCTGGTGAAAAGCCGAACTCAGGAGCAGTTCGTCGACGACCTCAGGGAGATCTTTGACGTCCTACGGAGCTCGCGGATGCGGCTAAATCCCAAGAAGTGCACCTTCGGGGTCAGGTCGGGCAAGTTCCTTGGATACATGATATCAAAAGACGGAGTAAGGGCTAACCCCGACAAGGTAAAAGCCATCATGGACATGGCTCCTCCCCGAAGCATAAAAGAGGTTCAAAGGCTGGCTGGCAGGATGGCGGCCTTGAACAGGTTCTTGTCGAAATCTGCAGTTCGGGGTTTTCCTTTCTTCAGGGCCCTGCGAAGAGGCCCTCAGTTCGAGTGGACCCCCGAGTGTCAGCAAGCGTTTGACGAGCTGAAAGCCCACATCGCACGATTGCCGTCCTTGACCTCTCCTGCGCTTGGAGAAACCTTATTTATCTATCTAGCAGTAGGGGAGGAGGCGATCAGTGCGGTACTAGTTCGGGACGAAGGAAAAGTCCAGAAGCCTGTATACTATGTCAGCCGAGCTCTGCAGGGCGCGGAGACAAGGTACACCTCGATTGAGCGATATGTCTTGGCGTTAGTTCACGCGGTTCGGAAGCTCAGGTCATATTTCCAAGCTCACTCAGTGGTGGTTATGACCGACCAGCCACTCAAGCAAATTCTTTCAAGGCCTGACGCCTCAGGTAGAATGGTGAGGTGGGCCGTGGAGCTGTCCGGATACGACCTCAGCTACCAACCTCGCACGGCCATTAAGGCCCAAGCATTGGCAGATTTTATAGCCGAAGGGGTCTCCTTCGGACAACCGGAGCCGCAGGCCAAGCGGACCAGAGACACAGCCGAGGCCCAGCAGGTCGGAGAAGCTGTCGAGGCCGCGCAGACGACCCGATCCCGGACGACCCAAGGCACGGCAGAGGCCAGGCAGGCCGAAAAAGCTGCCCAGGTCGAGCGAGCCGCCAAGGCTTTCAAGGCCGAGCAGGCGGAGGGGCATGTCAAGGTCGGGCAGGCCACAAAGGGAGCTCAGGCCGGACAGATCGGAGACGCAGCGGAGGCTGAACACGCCGAAGAGGCTGTCGAGATCGAACAGGCCACTGGCGAAGTTGATCAGATCATTCCAGTCTGGACCCTGTTCGTAGATGGATCGTCAAGCAAGGAAGGATGCGGAGCCGGGCTCCTCCTGACTAGCCCTCTGGGGGATGAGTTGGCCTACGCCCTGAGGTTTGATTTCAGGGCCTCTAACAACGAGTCCGAATATGAGGCCCTGGTCGCAGGGATGGTGATAGCTCGGAAGTTGAGGGCCGAGTCAATAGAAGTCTACAGCGACTCACACCTGATAGTCAACCAGGTAGGGGGAAGCTACGAAGTTAAGGAGGAGCCCCTAAGAAGGTACGTCGCCAAAGTGCATGAGCTAAGGGCCCAGTTCAAAGTATTCGCGCTCAAGCAGGTCCCTCGGAGCCAAAATAAGAGGGCGGATGCTCTGTCCAAGCTAGCTTCCACCTCGGTCGGCACGCTGAACAAAGAAGTCTTGGTGGAAGTCGTCAGAAATCGGGCGTATGACCAGGTGGACTTGTCTGTTATTCAAGTAGTGAGCTCATGGATGGATCCCATTATACGGTATTTAGCTAATGGAGAGCTCCCTCAAGACCGGGTGGAGGCGCGAAGGGTCCTCCTCAGGTCGCGGGGATACGAGCTCTCAAATGGGGTGCTTTACAAGAAATCCTACCTACGCCCGTGGCTGAGGTGCATTACTCCGGAGGAGGGAAACTACATCCTGCGTGAGTTGCACGAGGGCATCTGCGGAAACCACGTCGGCCCGAGGGTTTTGGCCAAGAAAGGAATGCTGTCTGGTTACTACTGGCCGACCATATTCTTGGATTCGACTGAGCTGGTAACTCGGTGCAAGTCCTGCCAGCTGCATGCGCCGATCCATCACGCCCCGACTCAGGAGATGATCCCTCTTCAGAGCCCTTGGCCTTTTTTCCAATGGGGAATCGACCTGTTGGGTCCATTTCCCCGAGCTCCAGGGGGCTATGAGCATGTGGTTGTGGCTGTAGACTATTTCACCAAATGGGTGGAGGCCGAGCCCCTTATCACCATTAGCAGCAGGTCGGTGCAGAAGTTCCTCTGGAAAAACATCGTTTGCCGATTTGGTATACCCCATGTCCTGGTGTCGGACAATGGACGCCAGTTCGCTGACGTTGCTCTTCAAGGTTGGTGCACGGAGCTCGGAATCCGGCAGCACTTCATCTCGGTAGGCCACCCTCAGGCAAACGGCCAGGTCGAAAACGTCAACAGGACCATACTGCACGGCTTAAAGACACGGATGGAGTCCGCCCGAACTGGGTGGTTGGACGAACTGCCGACCATATTGTGGGCTTACCGAACCACTCCCCGAACTGCTACGCAGGAGACTCCTTTCGTGCTGACCTATGGAGCGGAGGCGGTGATCCCGGCGGAGATAGGTGTTCCTTCGAACAGAGTTCAGAACTTCATAGCTCGGGACAATGAAGAGGAGCTGCGTCTTAACCTGGACTTGCTGGAAGGGAGGAGAGAAGAAGCAGCTATACGCATGGCCAAGTATAAGGGACAGATCGCGCGACACTACAATGCTAGGGTAAAGCCTCTGGCTTTTAAGCAAGGGGACCTGGTCCCGAGGAAGAACAGCGTAAGTCGGCTTCAGGGCACTGGTAAGCTGGGTCCAAATTGGGAAGGACCCTATGTGGTGAAAGAAGCAGACCGTGCTGGATACTGCAGGTTAGCTCACCTCAGCGGGGAAGAGGTCCCTCGTACTTGGCACAATTCCAACCTGAGGATTTTTCGTTAGGCTCGCACACGACAGTTCGTCTCAAGGTCAAGACTTTGATTAATGCTAGTGTATTTGACTAATAAGCTGTTTTCATCTTAGGGAATAGCTCACTTATGTCGGCATAAGGCCGAACTGATATGTCTTGTTGTGAGAAACTTTGCAAATGCGATTAAGTATAAGACAAAAGGAAGGCTGTTCATTTCATTCAATAAAAACTGTACAATGAAGAGCAGAGTTCATACAAAACGAACTACCGATAGTTCGGGTTCTACCCTAAGCCCTATTCTAGTTTTCACCCTCCTCCTCCTCCTGCTCGGATTCAGGAGTGGTCACTGGCAGCAGGGGGTCGGCAACCAGGTCGACCAGCTTCCGCCCGTGCGTATAGCCCTCCACCAGGCGGTCGAGCTGCTCCACAGCTAGGGGATTGTAGCTGGGAAAGTTTCCCAGGTCAAACCCGGGTAGCCCTAGCCCCTGCACTTCCTGCAGGGCCTGGGAATACCCGTGCTGCAGAACGGGGGTATTCAGGATGGCCAGGTCGCCCCTGAACTCCTCGGACCTCAGGAAGGTCCGCACACCCTCCTGGCTTCCCTCAGCCCTAGCTGCCTCTGCCTGAGCAGACAACCCAGCTGCCTTTTGCTGTTCCTCTTTCAGCTGTGAGGTTAGATCGGCGTTTTTCTTCAGTTCTAGCTCGAAGTTTGTGTGGACTTGCGCGAGCTGCTTCTTCAGGCCTTCAGCTTCGGCCACAGCTGCTGCGTTCTGGCTGAGCAACTTCTCGTTGGCCGCCTTCGTTTCAGTCAGCAGGGGGAGCAGGCCCTCGTAACGCTTAGCCAGTTCGGGCCCGACCACGTTCATCTGTCAGGACAAGTGTGGAGGCGTCAAAATCATGACAAGAGTAACCTCCTACCTATAGCAAAGAAATGGGAGAATACCGACCTGTGCTGCTCCCGTGTAATAGTAATTGAGGAGATCGGACGAATCCATGGTCTTGACTAGGTTGAAGTCGCGTGGAAGGATGGCGCCCTGGATAAGCTCCCGAGCTGCGTCTGGGAACTGAGCTCGGTCGTTTATGGATAGCTTCCACTGGGGGCAGAAGTGCATAGGGTGTTGGTGCGTCGTCAGCTGCGTCTGGGGGTCGAAGAGCAGGGAGCTTTGGCGTTGCCACAGGTTTGGAGGAGCTTCAGCGCGGGCTTGCTCTTCGACGGTGTTCACGCCGTAGTGGCCGCTTTGGGCGGGCTCGGGTGTTGGCCTCTCCTCCCGAGCTGGGGACGAGGGCGTTTCCACCCTGACTCTCTTAGCAGTGGTCTTCTTTTTCTTTTTCTTCCCAGCCTCAACCGCCTTGGAGGATTGGGCGGGAGCTGGCTGAGGTACGGGAGCAGGCACCGAGCTGGCTGGGATGGCCGACGGAGTCTGAGTAGCGGCGCCCGGGTTGCTGCTACCGCCAATGGATAGAAGTGAGGAAAACCGTTTCACTGCACAAACAGAAGGCCAAGAGGTCAGCGGTTCAAAAAAAAAAAAAAAGAAAAAAAAAATATATAATGATGATGATGGAGGGGCAGGATAGTTACAGGCGTCCAGCTCGTCTGTCGAGAGTGGCCTATCCTCTAAGGAAGGATCCGAGGAGCTAGCTCGGATCAGCCCCGCCGCCCAAAGCTGGCCATTGCTGAACTCCTTCACGTCCAGCTTCGTGTCCGAGCTGAGTAGGCGGCTTAGCTCGGACACGGGGAGCGGGGACGGAATGGGATCTGAGACTTGAGTCTCTGCTCTCCAGGTAAGGGGAGGAAAACCTAGGTTCTTCACAAAGAAGAACTGAGGCTTCCAGTCCTTGATGGAGGAAGGTGCCCCCGTAAACACCTCGCGGGTGGGGGTTTTCGTTCCACTTCGTCGGGCGAAGTAGAACCACCCAGGCACCTTCCCGCTGACCTTCATCTGGAAGAAGGCTCGAAATAGGTCAAGAGAAAAAGGGATTTCGAGTGCTCGGCAGAGGATGAAAAAGCCTATGATAGAGCGAACAGCGTTGGGGATGACCTGGGTTATGCGAATACCCCAGAAGGTAAGAATGAAGAAGAGGAAGTTGGGGATGGGCAGACGGAGGCCAGCCATCAGTTGGTCCCTGTAGATCGCCACGAAGCCAGGGGGAGGTCGGCTGGCGACCTCCCCTGGACGGGCGGCCCTGGGCTCGAACTGGGCCGGAATTTCGTATTTTTCCGCCAGCTCGTCAACATCTTTTTGAGCCAGGGCTGGGGGAATAGTGTCGACCTCTCCAAAGTCGCCCCTCAGCGCCCCTGAGGTCCCTGCTGCCATCTGATCCGGAGCAGCCTGTTCGGCTGCTCCTACTATAGGCTGGGCAGGTCGCTCAGCTGGGCTCATTACTCTAACTGGGGACAGGTTAGGCGAGGCTACTGGTCTCGGTCCAAATGAAATAGAAGGAGAAGAGCTAAAGGAATCGGAAGAGCTGCTGTCTAAGAGTATGGGGCTGGCTGCTCTGTGCCTATGGGCTGAACTGGTAACGTCAGAACTATCCGAACTGTAAGAAGACATAAAAGGAAAGGGGGACTTACTGGTGAAAGGATGATCTAAGGATTGCCCGGGCTGACTCTGGGCTCTTAAGGCGGGGCGACCCGATGTGTTCTTGAAGAGAAAGGAATGAAGCAGCGAACTGGGGAGTGAAGGAGCGAACTGAAGAAATGAGAGGAGGAGAGTGAAAATGACGCTTGGAGGACCCTATTTATAGGCAGCGACAGCGCGGGAAAACGAAGAGGCGCGCATTTATTAAAGCAGTTATGGGGAACCGTTCCTAACCGCCATAATTGGCCGAGGCGACGATTGAGGTGACCGACGCGAACTGACGCGACGGTTGCTTGCACCACTCTCTGACGGCGGGTCCCACAAGGAGCTGACATGACCTCCTAGAATTCGGCCTAGATTCACGCGCACGATCGATGACTCTAGACTTGAGGGGGGGCTAGTGTAGTGGGGCCCACGAACACGTCGGCCTGGCCCATAAGCTCGGCTGGTAGGAGGTTCCCGGCCCAGCAGGTCGGCTTGGATGGGCCGCGCGGGCTGCAGAGCCCAAGCACGCCCTAACTAAGCTATGGAGCCCTAGGGAGAGTTATGCTCCCATAAGGACTCCCTGTTCTACTAGGAGACTACTACCTGTGACTCTATAAATACCATGCGTGGGGAAAACACAAGGTACGCTATTCATAGCACAATCTCTACTCTTTCACTTACAAATCTTCCTCTGACTTGATCGTCGGAGTTGCTACAGGGGACCCAGCCCCGCAGCTCGCCCGCGCGCAGGTCGGACGACTCCGCTCGCTCCCTAGGCACCCGGTCAGGTCGGACCTTCACTTCGGCAGTCGCATCAATAGTATTTTTGAGAACCTAGAACTCTCTTTTAATATGTTTTTTACCAAAAAGAAAGAAAGAAAGCTTTTAATATTTTTATCAAAGTTTTTTTTTTTTTTTACTTTTTGATCTAAATGTGCCTAGAAGTCTTTGCTCCATTGTTTTATTTTATTTTATTTTAAAGGTTTCTAATATATCTTAATATGTTTTCTTACCAAATAGGATCCTAAGCTCGAGCAACCGCATGCCCATTCTCAAGTCTACCTGCAAAAGATGCATAAATTCCATCGTAGACAACAAGAAATGTGACGAGGAGATAGGAGAAAAGACGAGCAACACTAATGGCGAGTCTTCTGGGAATATCCAAGCCTAATGCCGCGGAGGTAAGTCTCTACCAAACCTGAGAAGTCCTCAATATTATTGATAGAGAAAGTCCCTACTAAATCTAAAAAGTCAGAGAAGAAATTTTCTGCTCAATCTAAAAAACTGGAGGAGGAGGTCGGAGATGACATGGTGTACAATAACCGTCCGAGATCTGATCATACCCAAAAACTTGTCCATCAATCCATAATAAAATATTATCGGCCGTCCATTGAAATTTCAACCCAGGTTTGAGCTCCAAAATGGGCAGTTATTCATAGCATAAAGCCCTAACAAATTTACTGATCCCTACATTTCTCTTTAACCACATCTCACCTTCTAGATTTGACCTACTAGTAGGAAAGGAAGAAGGGGCATATCTCTCACCTGCCGATTCTAACGATTGTTGCTATCAGGTAAATGCTATCCTACCCCACTTACTCCCTTCGATTATTGTGAACTATGAAGAGCATTTATCTTCTTCTATTAAAGTGTTTTGACCTATCTAGGACTCTCTAGTGTCTACTCCATTACCATATCCCACCTAATCCAATTATTGAGAAAACCTTTTATTATAAGTATTTTTAGGATCTAGAACTCTATTCTAATATGCTTTTTTATCTAGAAAAGAATCTTTGTATCTTTTTATTAAAGTTTTCTAGTTACTAATCTAATGGTGTCTAGAAGTCTCTACTCCATTGTTTTATTTTATTTTATTTTAAGGATTTTTAATATATGCTAATATGTTTTCTTATCAAATAAGACCATGAGTGATAAGTGACTATTTTGAACTATATTAAAATGACATTTTATGTTATTTTCAGTCCCTTTTGCAATGCTATAAGAAGGAAATGGATTATTTTGCCTATAATTAGTTTAAAATGCTCTTAAGTGTTTAAATGAGGTTTATATCACATTTCACTTGCATTTTGTCCGTAATTTTTTATAGGAGTTAGAAATAGACTTCATTTGGATGAAAAAGAAAAGTTGACAGCTTTGATACATTTTTGAATCTTGGCTATAACTTGAGCTACAATAATCGGATTGAGATGACTATTGAACCATTTTGAAGATAAGAGATAGATCTACAATTCCTGTAAAGACATCGAAATCCAATTTAAAGGTTTTCTAGGACAAAAAACCGAATTACAGTAGTCAACAAGGCATTGAGCAGTTAAGGGTATTTCAGTCATTTTGCAGCCTACACAAATCCAAATGAGGTGATTCTTGATGCATTGGAAAGCTAACTCAAAGGGATACAAGCCCTATGTTTTGGTCAACAGTAATTCGGCCTCTATCATCAAGAAACTTTCAGTTGAATTTGATGTAAAATTGGAACAACATTGAAGATTGAACAGAAATTGAGAACCAAAGTAGGGGAGCAATCCGGCTAACAATCTAGCCAGTTTTTGGATGGATATTTGGCCGGGTTTTGGTCTGAAATTATGGCTCTCTACTTGCACAACTTATTTTCTCCTCCAATAATTCACAGCTATTGATGGATGTTTGACAATTATTTTGCAATTGTAAAAGTGACGTTTGAAGCCTCATTTTTTGACTAAATTTGTCTATAAATAGCCATGGAGTTGTAAGAATCAAGAGAGCTTGGAGAGTGCAAGAAATACTACTAAAATGTAGCTCTTACATTTTCTTAGTGTTAGGTTAGTAGGGTATATGATAGTTTAACTAGTTAGTTTATCTTTCTTGGTTATTAGCTAGGCAAAGATGAAGATGGAGGAGATGAACTCATGTGACAAGAGTTACATTTCTTTCCAAACTATTTAACTTTTGTATTTGATTCTATTATTTAGTTATTATACAAGTTTGGATTTTATATTTATCATGTCTTTCTAAAGTTTATGCCTTGGATTTTGGTTGAACTTCCTATGATTGTATTGTGTTAATTTTTTAGCTATTTGATGCTTTTATTTTGAACAAGTTATTTAGCACTTTTGCTCTCCTAAATTATGACTAACTTGGTACCATTAATTGTGATTATTTAAAAGTGGTATTTTTCTAATGAAAATTGGGATTTAACACTAGTTCAAAAAGTGCTAAACCTAGGTAGTATACTCATGAGAACAGAGATGCGCCTTTGTGGCTTTAGTGATTCATTTCATGTAATTTCATAGACGTAATTAACTTGTAACTAATTTCATTACCACGAGAGTAGGTATGGATTAGTTATAAGTATAGTTGATTTACTACGAAAGTAGGTTTCACATGTATGAGGAAATGACGCCATAACTAGCCAAGATAGTAGTACACAATGATCCAAAAATAGCAAGTGTATGAGTAGTTAGGAATACCATAACTTAAGGAGTTTTTATTTGCTATTGTCTTGCATAAGTTTAGCATATTTTTATTTCCTTTAATTTGTTGGTCATCTAAATAATAGAGAAGTTTTAGCAGTGCCGGTAATTGACAATCTTCCTTGTGGGTTCGACCTTTAATACCCTGTACTCACTCTCGACTCATATACTTGCAAAAAATCATGTGTGAGGTATTTAGAATGTTATAAATGTAAAACTTGACTGTAGAATAAATTAATTATTATATGTATACCCCGTGCTCGTCAATGAGTTCGAGCCGCCGTATGCCAACTCTCGAACCTATTGGCTAAAGATGTAAAAATTCCATCACAAATAGCAAGAAAAATGAGAATGAAGAGACTGGAGAAAAGATGAGTGATGCTAATGGCGAGTCTTCGATGGAAATGTTTGAACCTAATACCAAGGGAGGAGAAGTATCTACCAAACTTGACAATTACTCTACCGTGCTGCAAGAGGAAGTTCCTACTAAATCTAAAAAGTTGTAGGAGAATGTTTCTGCTCAATTTGTAAAGCTGGACGAGGAGGTCAGAGAGGACCACGGTATAACATAACAATTTGATATCTGATCATATCTAAGAACTTGGCTGTCACTCCACAATCAAATACTATCAGTCGTCCAATGAAATTCCAGCCTAGGTTTGAGCTCCAAAACAAACACATTATTCACAGTGCAAAAGCTTAACAAATTTACCTCATCCCCATGTTTTCCTTTAACTTTAGACATTGCAGATTTGACCTGGCGGCAGGAAAGGAAGACAACACCAATGTCTAACCTGCAGATTCTCGTAATTGTTACTATCAGGTAAATGCTAGCCTACTCTACTTACTCATTTTGATTATTGTGACTTGTGAAGGGCATTTATATTCTTTTATTACAGTGTTTTGATCTATTTAGAACTGTCTAGTTTCTACTCCAATATCTTGTCCCACCTACTCCAATTATTGAGAAGATATTTTATTAATAGTATTTATAGTAATCTAGAACTCTCTTCTAATATGATTTTTATCCAAAAATAAAAAGGAAAGCTTTTAATCTTTTTATTAAAGTTTTTTTAACTTACTAATCTAAAGGTGTGTATGTCTCACAAGAATGGAAGATGGGGCCAATGTATCGCTTGTGGATTTTCGTGGATGTTACTAACAAGTAAATGCTATCCTACACCACTTATGCCCTTCGATTATTGTGAACTGTGAAGAGCATTTATCTTCTTTTATTAAAGTGTTTTGACTATCTAGGACTCTCTAGGCTCTACTCCATTATCTTATCCCACCTAGCATTTATTATAAGTATTTTTAAGGATTTAGAACTCTCTTCTAATATGTTTTTTATCCAATAAAAGAAAGCTTTGAATCTATTTATTAAAGTTTTTTTACTTACTGATCTAAAGGTGTCTAGAAGTCTCTGCTCTATTATTTTATTTTATTTTATTTTATTTTTAGTGTTTTAATATATCTTAATATGTTGAGCAACACCAATGGTGAGTCTCCAGTGAAAATGTTTGAGCATAATGCTGGAGAAAGGAAAGTCTCTACCTAACCTAAGAAGTCCTCTATTGTGATGCCGGATGAAGTTCCTACTAAATCTAAAAATTTGTCGAAGAAAGTTTCTGCTAAATCTAAACAGTAGAAGAGGAGGTCAAAGACGATCACGGTACACCATAACTATCCAATATTTGATCATGCCCAAAAACTTGTCCATCACTCCACAATAAAATATTATCGGCAGTCTAATGAAATTTTAGACTAGGATTGAGCTCCAAAGTGGACAAATTATTCATAGTGCAAAACCCTAACAAATTTATCTTATCCCCACATTTCCATTTAACCTCACTTCACCTTCCAGATTTGACCTGGCGGCCCAAAAGGATAATGTCTCACTTGCCAATTCTCGTGATCATTACTATTAAGTAAATGCTATACTACCCTACGTTATTCACAGCCCAAGTTTGAGCTCCAAAATGGACTTGTTATTCATAGTGGAAAACCCCTAACAAATTTACCTCATTCTCACATTTTCCTTTAAATTCACTTCACCTTCCAGATTTGACCTGCTGGTAGGAAAGCTAGAAGAGGCTAATGTCTTACTTGCTGATTCTCACAATTGTTGTTAGCAGGTAAACGCTATCCTACCCCACTTACTCCCTTCGATTATTGTGAACTGTGAATAGTATATATTTTCTTTTATTAAAGTGTTTTTATCACATCTAAAACTCTCTGGTCTTTACTCCACTATCTTATCCCACTTACTGCGATTATTACAAACTTCACAAACTTGAATTCATAATAATTTATAAATGCATATGTTTCTAACAAGTAGGATAAATCACAAAAAAATACATCAATTTACTTTATAGCTGAAATAGAGTAAATTATATTTTGATTTTTTAATTAATTCTTTCTTCATTTGCTTTATTCATGGATTTATCCATAATTTTTTAAATTCATTCAATATCATTAACGAATATGTGATTATACCATGGAAAACTCATTTATTTTTATTATATGTAATAAATATTATGTGTTAATTAAGGAAGGTTTAGCCAATGAGTTGTCTAGTCAATTTTTCTACCTAACATTTTCTTCTAATACATTTTCACTATATATATAGGGACAAAAGGTTGAAGCGCTAATTTATGGCACAAATATAAAATTTTTCAACAAATTTTTTGACACCCATAAAAATTACTATATCTCCAATACAAAAGTTCAACCCATTTTAACCATAAGTTTCGCACAAAAAAAAAAAAAAAGAATATTCATGGATCATCAACACCATAGCTGCTGTCCAACAATTGCAAGAAATTGGCAGGCCACTTATTTCAATGTCTCTATCTCCCACCTTAATAGAAATTACAAAGCAGATATGATAAAAAATTCTTTTAAGTGTTGAAGGTTGGATTTATGAACTTTGATCCAAATTTCAAATGAAGTAAATATGCCTCTTAAATAACACTCTATCAAAAAAATTCAAATGGTCAGACCTTTCTGCAATTGCTATTCATATTCAACCAAAGTTTGTAGCAGCAGATCCACGTACTGGACAAGTCATCGTTGTTGATCAATGGTTCGACTAACACCTATCCAATCAATAAAAATGCACCATAAATATATTCTCATTAACAATATTCCAAAGCTGTCAACCACTGTCCTAACTCTTTGGTGTGAATATGACAACAACAAGAACTAATCAATAGCTAACATTGCTTCTGCCCCATGCAAGCATCCTACCACAGTAAGTATTTATTACAAATATTCAAGAGGAACTATTACACTCTTTGCAGCTTTCAACCGATCGACAAGATAATAGAGACAACACAAGGAAAGACACAACTGCAACAAAAACTACTACCATCTACAAGAAAAAACTATATCCGACATACCACTACTTTAGTTTCATGCAAATACGAGAGACTATCAAGAAAACTTATAAATTCTGCTTTTACCTAATCTTTCAATCTTATATAGTTTGACATATAGTTAACCTTTCAACACCTCTCTTTTTATTATTACAAATTACACTTCTATACTATTACACCAAACAAAAACTACTAACTTTTCTTAAGTCACAGGTACCAAACTCCCACATGATATGTGGGCTTTCCTTCTCTAGTGTCAGTAATAATTGTACAAAGTGCCAATTGACAAAAAAAGGAGGGGAAAAACAAAAGAAATACCCACGAGAGAAGCAGGGGCACATTGAAAGCCAGAAAAAAGGAACTTATTGGCTTTCGAGGAACTCAACAAGTAAATCAGCAAATATAGCATTCTACAAATTGCGACAGTTACCTACTCAGTAGGGCAACATCGAGTCATTTCCTTGAGTGACCTTCTTAACAGTCCAAAATAACACCATTTGCTTTAGATGTAGGCTTCCAAGAGGAAAATATGTACATTAACTCCACAATAAGTTGTTATTGCAACTCGGATGCGGGGACAATGTGGTAAATTGCATAATGACAAAAATCCTTTTCTGTTAGTGGATTAAGGTCCTGTTTGGGATTGCAATACTTTTGATAAAAAAGCATTTTTAAGTATTAAAAGTACTTTTGAAATGTTTAGTGAATATCATCCAATAAAATTAAGAGTGAAGGTTTTAGTGTTAAAAACATTTTTAGTAAAAAGTCAAATTTGATACTTTTGGAGTAACTTTTATGATTTAAAAAATAGAATATTAAAGTTAATTATTTTTTCATATATTATCAACCAAATAAAGAGATAAATTCATTTAAAAATTTTCAAATTACACATTATCTAATATAACAAATACTTGTGAAACTATATTTCCAAACACTACACTTAAATGCATTTAAGCATTTAATAAATATTTTTATTAAAAATTTTATAGAAAAAATACTTTTCAATAAGTTATAGCAATGCCGAACAGTATAAAAAAGTGTCCAATGTCTACAGTGCAGATTTGGTTATAGTGTAATTATGATGAAGTCTCATGGTTTATTAGTCAATTGGCATTGGCCCAGTCCAAAGTGTTGCTGCCGCTTTTGCACCGCCTATCGGAAACTCCACCTTTCCGGTGTCTGCCTTCTACATTTGAGTCTCTGCATTTTTGCACCACCACTTCCGCAACCTTCCTCCTCTGTCATCTTCCTTCCAAGCCTTCTCTTCAAACTCCCGCTGGTCAATTCTCAAGCCAGAGGCCAAACACCGCCATCAATACCTTCATATTCTAGGTTTTTTTTAACCCCTTTTCCCGTTTTGTTTCAGGCGTTTAATTTAAATGTTAAAAATACGTTTCAGCCGTTTAGTAATTTGCTACCATTTTCTTTTTTACCATTATGTGTTCATTCACTTAAATTAAGTGTCCACAATCATCTCTGCTAATCAGGTACCTCTCTGTTCATTCGCTTAAATTAAGTGGTTAATTAGGAGAGATGTCCACACTCAATTGCTTTAGATTTTGAGATGATTTTGAAAAGTGATGACAGAGAATGATCAGAATGTGTTAAAGCTAATAAATAATGAGAATCAATTGAGGCTACTATTAGTAAATTCTATATTGCACATATATTGCTTGCTATTAGAAATTTTAAAATCTCAATGGAAACACAAATTAGAACATCAAGAAAGGTAATTATATAAATCCATCATCTTTCTTTGGCTGAGCGGCATGTATTTCAACGGTGCTCGTTTTTCCAATTATTAAGCGTGGTTAAATCCTATTTGATAACCCAATTCAGCATTTAAAGTTACTGAACTCAGATTTTAATATGTTTAATTACGTTTGATAACAAAAAATTGAGTATTTAAATTAATTGAGTGGCATTGAATTTTTTAGACAAAACTTACTCTCTGAAATAAGTCATAAATTATTTACTTATCAATGTATGTGATATACATTCAAATATATTTGATTTAATAGTTAAATAATTTAATAGATTTAATAGATTTAGACTTTGAATTTCAGATTTTATATATAGACCAAGAAATATTGAATAGTGATGTGGGCCAAAAGCATACAAACTAAAAGAAGGGGCTAATCCTTGCAGGAGCCAATTCCATAATTGTTTTAAGCCCCGATTTCACTGCTCTCCTGTATCACATGATGTCACGTGACACAATACTCGTTTAGATTTTCCAATCATCTTTCATAATCGTAGACCTCAGTGGCCTGTGCAGTCCTGGCCGAGAATATGTCCCGGCGGCTAGTGCTGGTGGCCCTTTTATTTACAGCCCTCTATCTTAGCTCCAATGCCGACGGCTATCCCTGCTCTTCCACCGAAGGCAAGTTTTTGCATTTCTTCTCATCCCCAATCAATGAGTATAACTGATGTCATTTTCGCTTTACAAGATTCATTCTCTGTTTCTCCTTTTATGTCTTTTGGCTTTCGAAGTGATTTTTTTTTTTTTGGGGTGAAAGAAGTGATTTTGTTAGTATAGTGTATTGATTTTTTTAGCACAGTATTGAAGAATTCAATATGAAGAAAGTTTCTCAATTATAATCTAGGGCTTCCATTGGTGAGGAATATCAGTGAGCTTACGCAGAATAGTTATGGTAGACCCGGTTTGTCTCACATGACCGTAGCCGGTTCGCTTTTACATGGGATGAAAGAGGTAAGCTAATCCAATACCAATTCTCTGGTGTTAAACTGTTAAATTGAATATTAGGAGGTAGCTTTCTTGCGTCTCTTAGCCCTAAATTCTATGAATGCCCTTTCAATAGGTTGAGGTGTGGCTGCAAACATTTGCTTCTGGATCTCACACTCCAATTCATAGGCATTCATGCGAGGAAGTGTTCGTGGTACTAAAAGGGAGTGGGACTCTTTATCTTGCTTCTAATTCACACTCCAAGTACCCTGGCAACCCACAAGAGTTTCCTATCTTCTCTAATAGCACGTTTCATATCCCTGTTAATGATGCTCATCAGGTGAATTGTTTCGACTTTTGCTTTTCTTTGTTTGATGCAGAACTTTTGCAAATATATCTGTATTCAATTCAGCAATATCTGCATAGAAAGCAAATTGAAAATCATTCTTGCTATTGTTTTTTTCCCTTATCGAGTGGAGGAGTGGGTTTCACAACATGAAAGGAAGAAATCCGACTGAATGGAAGGGAAAGCTCACCAGAAAAGTGTCTATTAAGTGTTACAGGATGAAGCCCCATCCCATGTTAATGAAATTGACTATGTTTAAAGTTTATTGTTCCATTTTTTTTTCTTTTTCTATTTTTAATCTCAGTTTACATTCCTTTTTTGGTCCTTCCTGTTCTCCATGATTTGTGGAATTGCTGTTGCTAGTACGGTATATATTTACTAATTATGAGTTTGCAGTGCTCATGCTAAAGTATCCTGAGATATGCACAAAACTTTTTGTTCATTTATTTTTGTTGCAGATATGGAACACAAACAAAGAGGAGGATTTACAGTTCTTGGTTATTGTCACTCGTCCTCCAGTTAAAGTGTAAGCATGTTCTGCACTTCAGTCATTTCTAGTTGCCTTGTATCTCATCAATTTACATTATTCCATGTTAGATCTGTAATACTAGTATCTCAAGTAAATATCTGATTTATGGAAGTTACTTTGGAGGGAAACAAGTTTCAATTTTCATCAATACACACACACTCACATATATAGAAAAGTCAATTGTTCGATGACCCAAAAAGCATTGTGCAGAAATTTTACTTCAAAGATGACTTCAGAGATGTTGTAGCTGGAGTAAGCTGTGTGTTAGTGATGAACTAGAATTCTTCTTTAGGTCATATGGAAACATGATAGTTTAGTTGGTGATGAAGCTAGTGCTAGGATTAAATTGAGAAGAAAAGATGGACATATTTTGGGAAAATGGATGGATTTAAGGTACTAGAGGAGCCAAAAGTGTGATTCTTTCCAAATAGAAAATTTCAATTTGCTGGGTTTTGGGGATAGTGAAGACTAGAGGGATGAAGAGAAACATATATTAAAAGGACAGGGAGAACAAGGGGAATGCTAGGTGCCAATTATCTTTTTCAAATCGATCTTTTTTTTTGGACCTTGTAGTGGAGAATAAGATAGATGTTTTTGATGGATTGAGTTCTTTATTTGAAGCAATTGATGGATTCTTTTTGTTATACTTTCATATATCCGATTATCGTGAGACTTAGTAGATTAATATACATAAGTAGATGTATCCCTTCGTATACTTGCATTTTATGGTTAGGAAATGACAATTATGCTCTGTGTTCTTACTTTCAGGTTTATATATGATGACTGGCATATGCCGCATACTGCAGCCAAATTGAAGTTCCCTTATTATTGGGATGAAGAGTGTTACCTGATACCTCCAACAAAAGATGAGCTTTAACTTGAAAGCAAGAATCTTGCACAATTAGTGGAAGTCAAATTTTATCCAATCAGTTGCAAGCATGACGCATGCAGTGTTCTCATTTCGAGAGGTACAATTAAACTCTTGCCTTCTTCAGATCAAAAGGACTAGTATTGTATGGTTCTGTTGGATGGGTGCATTTAATTACCTTTTCTGCTGGATGCTTCAGAGCCCAAGATTTTGTAGCAAGCATTTTGAGAATAGCCAATTTCCATTGTATATTTTCTATATAAGAATGAGATATTACTATAGCAGACTGAAGTATGACAAAAGTTCTGTGGAGATCTTCTTCTGTACCAACTTACATGTTCGATTAAAGAATTGACAAGTTTCTTCACTATCGTTTGTTTCATCCCTTTGTTGCATTTTTAATTTCTATTTCCGATCAATTACAGCTTATATGTTATACCTTATGGAACTTTCTTGTTGGTATACATATTTTCTTGTCCGAAGCAGTCTAGTACGTATTTCTTTCTTAGACCTCTGAGGCAGAGCATTCTATTCTTGAAGATCTCTGGAACTGGGTACAACTGAGTGTGACTAATTTTTTTGTGAGATTTCACTTCAACAACTCCTCTACCAGGCGAAGGAGAGGGTTTGAGAAGGGACATAGTCATATACCTGCTATGGTTATTGGTTCTGCCATAAGAGGTTGACAAATGATTGTGACTGCCTTCAGTTTTTATTTTGAATGTAATAAAAATAAAAAAATAAGTTGAGCCACACAATTCTTGACACAGTTTGGTTTACTTGCATTAAGCCTTAAGGAAACACCAACAAGGGAAGTTTGACAATTTAATAACATATGGAAGAGAGAAGAGACTTTTCAACATAAGTAGATAAAATGGCAATTGGATTCAGCACAATTCTTTCGTCCTCCCACGTGCCGCACACGTGGGTCGCCCGCCTTTTTCTTAAGAACGCTAACCCCCTTTGTGAAATGCGCTGGGATTGATACATCAGACATCTACATAGACTTGCTCTATAGGGTCTCTCAAATTTCTGCTGCTTGCCCCTCTCTTTCTTCCCCTTCTCCTTCTCCTCACCCTCTTCCTCTCCCTCCATTTATCGGTCCACCACCACTACAATTGGTTAAGACAGAACAACTTGCTGCGGTAATTCCATAACTTTCCCGTTTAATTTCCTTTTTATGGTTTAATTTTTAACCCTTTCTTGAACTATTTTATCTTAAATGCTCTGAATGGATTCCTGTTCTCCAGAATAGAAAGATTGAATTTCTTTCTCTCTTCTTTGTTCTACTCTCGTCTGTAGAGGTTTGTCTTTGATTTCTTTGTATCCAGCCAAATATTTCTTTCCTTTCTTGCATTCTTCTCATTTATTTATTTATTTATTTTTTTTTGCAGGGAGCTTGTTCATACTCCATCAATCTTGGTGAATTTTCTAGAACTAGAATACCCTCTGCCCTTTTTTATTCTTTTTTTAATGCTATTTATCTCTTAATTTTACACTTTAACCCTTGTGCTTTGGTTGCTTTTATTCTGTAATTAGTGCGCTTTGGTTTTGGTTATGTTTTTTCCCATTGTGTTATCTATTTGCCCTTTCTTTGGTGAGTTGCCCTTTCTTTACTTCTGCTGTCATTTCCCTTCCTTTTCCTTTGAACTTTTCTTCCCTTTTCCTTGGATTCTGCATATGTGTATATTCCTCATGGTTTTCTTTTCTTTTTTTTTTTTCTCCTTATTTTTCTGTCTTGCCCCGTTTCTTATTTGCTTTTGATATTAGATGTGTGTAAACTTATTGTGCATATCTGAGGTCCATAGTTCTCTGCTTTGGTTTGCTCTTACCATCCAATTCATTGTGTACGCCTGCTTGTCCTTTTTTTCCTTCCACCGGACTTATTCATCTGTGTATGCTGTGAGGTCTTTTTTGCATTTTTTTTCTGGGGGAAAAAGGTTAACATTGTTACCTTTGTTCATGTTTGGTTGTATTGAATGCAGTCTCTTCAATGTATTATTGAGTATTCTTTTTTTCCTGTTCTGGCCTCTATTTGATATTACTTTAGGCGTTCGTTTGGGAGTTTAGGAAAAGAGGAGGGGGGGGGGGAACGTTATGAAAGAAGAGGAGAGAAGAGAAGGGATTGTTATGTTGTTTGGGAGTTTTGAGAATTAGTGGAATGATTTTGGATATGAAAGTCATTAAATATTTGTTCAAGACATTTTTAAGGATAAAATAGGTATTTTAAAAAATTTTCACAAGCTTCCTCCAACTTTCTCTCCATTTCTCTCCAATTTGGGAGGAAAATTTTGCTTACTATTCATCCTCTCATTTCCTTTCTTTTCTCTCTTACTAAAAGCTTACAAACAAAAGAACTTTCTCTTCTTTTCCTTTCTTTTCTGTCCAAATCCTCAACTCCCAAATGAACCCTTAATTTTGCTATTATTTTTCCCTCTTTCTTGAATTCTCTATGCATTTATAGTCCACATGGCTTCACCTTTTTTTCCCCATTTTCATTTCTTGACCTGTTTTCTCTTTCCTTTAGTTGTTAGATGGATGTAAAGGCATTGAGTATAGTTGAGGTCCACAGTTCTTTGCTACGACGGACTATTATCTAAGTTATTGAGGGCTCACATCTCACAACTACTGATGCAGAATGTGCCACAAAAGTGTATTGTCGCTTCGTCTTTGACGATGCGCATGTAGGTTTAGCTTTTTGCCCCTTTTGTGTTGTCATAGTTTACTCTGTGGTCCTTTTGCTTACTTGAAGTATTAGTTATGATTTCAGTAATATATTCCGTGTTAATGCCTTGGGGGTTTGGAATGAAAAAGTTATACTATTTTTTAGCCTACTGTACATGTTGTATAGTGAATTTGAGCGTCTGGTTTATCTTTTTTTCCATTTGTGTGAGCTGTGAAGTCTTTTTTTCCATTTTTTTGGGGGGAAAAGGCTAACATTGTTACCATTGTTCATGTTTGGTTGTATTGAATGCAGTTTCTTCAATGTATTGAGTATCCTTGTTTTCTGTTCTGGCCTCTCTATTTGCTATTGCTTTACTTTTTTCCCTTCTTTTTTCTCACTGATTTCCTTTTTTCATACGAGTAGTCGTTTTGTTTCTGAGCTGATATTGTGACAAACTAACTCGTCTTTTGGTTGACTGATTTGTTATAGATATGTTTTATATGATTTCAGTAATATATTCTGTGTTAATGCCTCGGGGATTTGGAATGAAAAAGTTATACTATTTTTTAGCCAACTGTACATGTTGTATAGTGAATTTGAGCGTCTGGTTTATCTTTTTTTTTCATTTGTGTGAGCTGTGAAGTCTTTTTTTCCATTTTTTTGGGGGGAAAAGGCTAACATTGTTACCGTTGTTCATGTTTGGTTGTATTGAATGCAGTTGCTTCAATGTATTGAGTATCCTTGTTTTCTGTTCTGGCCTCTCTATGTGCTATTACTTTACTTCTTTCCCTTCTTTTTTCTCACTGGTTTCCTTTTTTCATACGAGTAGTCGTTTTGTTTCGGAGCTGATGTTGTGACAAACTAACTCTGTCTTTTGGTCGACTGATTTGTAATAGATATGATAGGAGTTGTTTTATATGCTTTACCAGTGAGTAAGGCGCGCTTTTAGACGGTGTTTCTGTTATTGCTAGAGATTATGTCATTGATCAAAGGTGATTTCCGGTGCTTGGATCCTTCCGTGTTGCTTTTGTTAGCCCCTGCATTTTTTAGATTGCTGACACCTTGTTGTTTATGTTTGTTGCTATGGTAAGAAACCTGTTCTTCTGACATTGTTCTATGATTTTTGAGACTGAAGTGGGGCGGACCATAGTAGATGCAGTGGGGTATGTTGAGTCCAATCCAGTTATTATTGGTATTAGACACAGAGTGAAGCCTGATAATTGTGAGATCTGTTTCTATGCATATTCATGGTTCCTTAGTTAATTTGTGTTAGGCTGTTGTGTTACAGGTGTCTCTGTGCTGTCATTTTTTTCTTGGCACTTTTCCCTTCTGGACTTTAAATCATGGATTGTTTGCTAAGTCATAGCAAGCTAGAATGTTATATTGATCTTTTGAAAGGTGACATATTTATTAGGCATTCTGATGGAAGGTGAACCTCCCTTTCTTCAACTAATAATATCCTTGAATTCTTTTCCCTCGTCCCGGGAAATAATGGTTTTTTTTTTGCCTTTTTTGGTAGTAGAAGAAGGTGATAAATAAATAAGATAGAATTCAGACCAAGAATCCTAATTATTACAGTTCGGATGAACAAAACGAAAAAAACAGAATTCTCTTATAGTTCAGATGGATTAGCGCTTATCAACCATTGAATTCACTAACTCATTGCGTGTTGATCTGTTTGGCGAATATTTTTTTGCTTAATATTGCATTAAATAGTGCGATCCAGGCTTGAATTTGCTTATACCAAATTAGGAATTCAATGGTTGATAAGTACTAATTCATTGATCTCCAAGGAAAAAACATCGAGGACATGGGATAGAATCCGAAACCTTTTTTTCAGACAATGCCTATATAAGATTGCGTGGTCTAAAAATATATTGATATCGCCTAGGATTGCTTTGATGCCCGTGAGCTTCCCCACTGTGTTTTCGTTTTCTCTCTTCATTTGCTAATCAATTTAATAATGCCAATTTCATCAATTAAATAATTTAAGAAAAGGTTCAACCAGCTACCCTAGCAATCAAAAGAATTATTTTCATCACCTTAAAATTAGCAAAGGCTACATGTTAGAGGTTTCCCAAAATAACATCCGGTAAAAGTTGTTATCCAAAAAGCAAAAAAGTAACCATTCATCGCATCGCTCCAAAATTTTGGGTATGCTCCAACTTCTTGCTGCCTCAGAGTCATGCTCAAATTTGTACGGCTCCATAACCTTCATTATAAGACCAAATAGAAGGAAATAAAAAAAAAAATGTGCAGAAGGGCTGGGTGTCAAATACATGCAAAATAAATATGGTCCTTAAGTATATAGGCATTTTTTTTATATATTATTTTCAGCTATCAATCTTGAGTTTTAAATGAATAGGCATTTTTCTCATACAGTATTCCTAGCTATTAATCATGAACTGGACAAGCAAAATTTTATCTCTATCTATTAATCATGAACTGGACATGCAAAATTTTATTTCTATCGCGCAGAGCGCAGTGTATACCTCGTAGTTATTAGTAAATTGGGTAGCAGTTCTAAATTATGACATTGTCTCTTCTATTTGTGGTCAAGATCATATGTAAGAATTACGATTTTAATGATTAATCCAAATTGTTAGTAGTTTATTACCAAATGTATTATTTACTAAATAATATTTTTATACTTGTTTATCGAGTTTTAAAGGTGGTTGTCGTTCTTAGTAAGTTAGAATTTAGCACCACAAAGCACTCAAGTGCAAGGCTTTATATAACAATTGTAACATCATGGGTGGTGAGTTAACCCGAAACTCTTTGAGCGAAAACCACCATATAAATCAATCTGATCCGTTCAATATATTCTCTCTTTTGTTTTTTCGTAATCAATGATCAAAATCAAATTCAGTTTATTGGACCTGATTTGGACCATCAATTACCTCTGCAAGATGGGAAACCTTTATGGTAGGAACGTTTTGACCGTGCCTATGGTAGGAAGGCCTGCAGAGAACAACACATGTTGGAGTTGGATGGAGTGTAAACGGAGACGTTAAGCTGTGGAAGATCGCGTGGAGAGCAAACATTAATTTTTTGCCTGCAGCTGCAAGCGAAAAAGCACACGTTCGGACTTCCGTTTTCTAATGTAGTAGGTTGGGTCAGGAAAGGGTAATTGCAGGTCAGAACCACTGGCATTTATGCATTTGCAAATCTACCCATTAGCAATGGAAAAATGCTGCAAATGCATGCGACAAAAAAATGTGCGTAAAGAAGGTACCGAACTTTTAACAAATAATAAATGTAAATCTCACAAGTGTGGGGGGATAATAACTTGGAAGAAAGAAGGAAAAGCGGAGTAGAGGTAAACGTAGTAGTTCTGTGGCAACGCGAAACACAAAGGGATTGAAGGCTTCATTATATTTATATACATATATAAATTTAGTACCCAAGTGTTCAGCTTAAGCATCCCGGGAAAATGGTGCCATAACTATCGTTATGGTAAACAAAACAGTTTTAGACATGATGTAATAGGTTATAAAAATTTTAGGTACCATTTGATTACTCGTTGGACCTATCCGCTTGAATAGGATTATGGATAAAAATAAGGAAGTAAGTTTCTCATCTAAAATAGTAAGTTAACGTAATAAATTAGTAACTTTTGCAATCGAAAAGGTAAATTGAAAGTAATATGAAACATACTTTTTAAAGAGATAAATTACAATTTTATATCCCAAATATACTTTTGAGGGAGTAAGTTTATTTGAAGTAAAAGTATGTTTTTATACATAAGTAGTGATTTTTACTTATAACATAGTAAATTTGATTAATGACAAAAACATGCTAATTTATGGTAAAAATATTCTATTATGCTAAAAAAAACTTATACCAAGCCCATATTTTTTTGTGTTATTTGAAATAACACTAAAATGTATTATTAATGATTAAAATCGAGTACCTTACTTAGTAAGTACTGTTAATATACTTGTATACATACTTGATCCTATGTGAATAAATAAGTATTTTTGAAATTTATAGGGAAATAAATTTTTTCTTTTGCAGTTAAAAAAAAAAGTAAGCGAAAATCATTTTTCCCAGAGCACAAAAATCCACAAGTCAAAATAGTTGGTCTAAAAGGGAAAGAAACATCTGAATATCATTGTTTAAAGTACCAAATAAATTAGATGTAAAATGCTCGTTAAAAGCAGGTACCTTGACATATAATAAAGGAAAGCCATAAAGAGCAGGCCATTTACGGGAAAAGTTATAATTCATAAAAATAGCAGCTCTTCACGGTTTTCTTACCAGTCGTCCAATGTATGAGCAAAGTGGCAATAATTAAAATAGTATTTTTTTCGATTTATACATATTTTCATTAATTTTTTTTTTTTGCATTTTAAAAAAAATTAATGAAAATCTTTTATCAAAAAGCACATAAGTCAAAAGGAATGGTCTAAAAGGGAAAGAATAGCAGATACGTACAGTACTCGTAGTTCACGTTTGAAGGACTACAGTGCTATTTTTGAAAAATACCCCGAAAAATATCTAATCCAAACGGAACCGATTCTTCATTATTTAAAATACCAAATATGTGATTGTGTTTTAACTGTTATCCATTGGTATTCTAAAGTATCATTTTTCCATCAAATACCACCTCTTTAACACCTATTTTCCCATAAACAAATTTATTTATCGGATAAAATACATAAAAATCCATTTTCCAATAAAACACTAGCTCTTTATAGCTTTCCTCCATTATAAGAACAGAGTACCCATTTTTCCATAAACAAATTTATTTATCAGATAAAATAAAAATAAACCCGTTTTCCAATAAAACACTAGCTCTTTATGGCTATCCTCCATTATAACAAAAGAGTACCCATTTGTAGGCAAAAAACAAATTTGTTGATCGGATAAAATAGAAATGAAACCTTTTTTGGGCAAAAATTTCAGGTCTTTATGGCTTTCCTCCATTATAACAAAAAAGGCAAAAAACAAATTTGTTTATGGGATAAAATAAAAATCGAACCCATTTTCGAATAAAACGCCAACTCTTTACAGCTTTCCTCCACTACAACAAAATAGTACCCATTTTGGAGGCGAAAAACAAATTTATATATTGGATACAATTAAAAAAAATGGTGTTTTCTAACAAAACGCCAGCTCTTTATGGCTTTCCTCCATTATAACAAAAGAGTACCCATTTTGGATGCGTTTGACAAATTTGTTTATCGGATAAAATAAAAATCAAACCCGTTTTATTGAAAAACGTGAGCATCAGTTGGATTAGTGAGCATCGGTTTGGTGAATGATTATGAGAGTAAACTATATTATGACAATAAAATACATTGAATTGTGAAAATTATAATTTAAACATGCTCCTAAATTTTGAATATGTGACTTTCGTAGTTGCGAATTTCTTAAATTAACAGTTAGTTATTACTATGAGTAATGTGGTAAGTGTGAGATGTGAATGTCAATAATAACTGTTAGTTATTACTATCAGTAAAGTCAGCCGTAAATGTGAGACATTAATTGGAATTTTCAGATATCATTTTACATGGGTGGTTACTATCTATTAGTTAAAATTTAGGAGTTTTAATTTTATGGGTTAGTGGGGAAAACGTGAGGGAAATGTGGGAAAAACATGAGCATGATTATAGGATTTGTACGAGCAGTTATAGGATTAGTTGTGAGATAAACATTTCTTAATTTTAGAAATGTAAAATTCTAAATAAAATAGTATTTAGAGTTTTGACAATTTGGAAAGCTCCTTATCCAAAATTCCCTCTACAATACATATAGATTGATATAGATGTATTTTTTTTAGTGGTTGAATCTCATATTCGTGAACTATCTGCAGAAAAAAATAAAATTCTAGACTATACTAATTTTGTTATACCAACTCTGTTATTCTTATTATTGTATTAATTGTTACGTTATTTCTCTCATTTTGTTAGGTCTACATTAATACAAGTTTAATTCTTATTATGTCTTGTGTCCCAAAAAATACATATTATCCTATTCAGGTGGATACGTCCAACAGATAATCAAATTGATGCTAAAAATTTAGAATGAATAAGTTGCTTTTGCATAACGGTTGTAAAGGTTTCTTGAGACTTTATGAATTAGGTGTCTTGCGTTTGCAAAAAGAATTTCTAGCATATTTTTGTATTGGAAATGGAGTTAAAACTTGCTATACGTTACTTTCCTGTATTTCAATTTTATCCTAAAGGGTAATTTGCTGTTCAACCTTATTTTATTCTGATTTTATCCAACTAATAAATTAACTTATGAAAATAGATAATTCATGTAGGAAAGCCATAAGTAGTTGGTGCTTTATTGAAAAAAATGGATTTATTTTTATTTTATCCAATAAATAAATTTGTTTATGAAAAATGGGTACTCTGTTCTTATA